GACAGGACATTTCAGTGTTAATAGTCTGTACAAATATCTTTGGTCATTAGCTCAGAATTTACTAAGCTTGGCCTGAACGTTCGGTGTTCAGTAATTATCGGATTATATTCTGTTGATAAATCCTGAAGGAGTAACTTTGCTCGCCATTATTCTAGGACTAGCTTTTTTTTAATAATTTAAACCAGGCAAGGCAATAAAGCCATGAAGACGCAAGGGGTTACTGGGGGTGAAATAACATAAGAAAAAGAAAAAAAAAACTTATTAGGGAGAGATAACAATAATAGAACAGGATTTATGGAGACAGAAGATAGCGATTGGGATTGCTTTTAAATTTTTGAAGATCAAAATTGACTGGAAAGTAATAAACCGGAAGAGAGTTCCATAAGCGAGATGTGGAATAGAAAACAAAACAAAACAAAAAAAACAAAACAAAAAACAAAAACCAAAAACAAAAAAAAAAAAAAAAAAAAACTATTAACATAGAACCTATGGCTATATCGAGATATTTCAGCTCCAACATGATGAGACCTCACCACCAATCAAATACTGTATATCAGAGAATAATTATTATAAAAATAAATCTTACAATCCAAATAATTGTTTCGGCTTTAAATAACCTCAAAAGGATTGATAAGCTGAAATTAAAAAAAAAAATAACATTTCTATTTGCTGATGACGCCGGTTTATCGACGAAAATATTGCAGTTGATTTTTTTTCTAAATTGTCTTTTATATTTACTATCCCATTGGATTCTGATCGAAATTTGCCCACAATTTTTAGGTACAAAGTCTGCATGCTTAAATGAAATGACTAACAGCGCATTTCAAAATTACCTTAGATGAAATTGTTCTGTATTTTGGTTTTCAATCATTTCACGCGAAGTAAGACAATAAAGACACTAAAACTCAAGAGGTTACTGATTGTTAGAGAATATGAGAAGAGAATATGAGAAGAGGTTACTGATTGTTAGAGAATATGAGAAAATCTGCTATTAATAAGAGAGGACAATAAAATAATAAGTATATAGAAAACAGAAGATAACAATTGACATTGCATTTTTGAAGATTAAAGTTCATCGGTAACCAAGAAGCCAGAAGAGAGTTCCACAGAGAGAAAAATAAATATCATACCATTTACTTTTTTACCCATGTGTACTGCAGCATCAGTGGAAGTGGTGTTTCTTCGGCAAGATAGGAGGAAGGAGCAACTCTAATTTCAAAATCAGAGTTGCTTCTTCTCCTAGACCGTTTGCCAGCCAAGGGTATAGAACCCAGTCTGTCCTGCTATTTACCCATTGCTGAGGAGAGAAGAGGATTCATAACTTTCTCAAGGGTATTAGCCCGTAAGTGAATGTAATGGATACGACTGGAATTCGAACTCGGCTCTCCGATTTCTCAATCCGAGTCGCCACTCCATTACTCCACTATGACTTTACTTTACTTTTACATCTAACCATTTCAACTGTAAAATGATGAAACCTAACTGCTAATCTAGTATCGCAATTAAATTCATAAATTTTAGGTACCTTAGAGTAAAGTATATAATTTAGATAATTTTTTAAAGCCAATTCAAAATGTTTCGTTTCGTAATTGATTCTTACAGAACTTTATTGTGACTCTTTTGAAGAAGAAGGAGAAATAAAACCAAAGATAAAAAGAATTAAATTTAGGAGGGTAAATGTAAGCAGCATTATCATCTGTAAATAGCTTACAGGCTATCTTATATCTAGATAAACAGGTAACTCCTATAAAATTAAGTTTTTCTTTAATTCCGAAGTTTAGAGATATCATGGCACAAGTCTACAAGCGAAGACCGAAATTACACCAATAATATACAATTCTAGCTTGCCAACCATTAAATCATTGTCGTCTTTATTTACTAATCATTTTTAAATGCTATATTACTTCAGGATTTAGGCGATTTTGAATCTATGTAGCGAGTCATTCACTGCTTTATCGTTACTTCTATGGAATGTGCCCAGACTAACTATATTCTTTGGTTCCGCCATGTTTAACCTTGTTTCAGTAACATGGCTAGGACCCGCCATGCTACTTACATTGTAGCAAAACTACCCATATTCCCTCCGTATACCATCGGCGAGAAGTTCTATTCAAACAGCTTCTTCTCTCGAACCACTGCCCTGTGGAACAGGCTCCCAACAGGATGTTTCCCCAATCATTACAATCTAGAATTAACCGCTATCGTTCCTCCTACCCATATATAATACCTACCCCTCCGCTCATTCCTCTACCACGAGTGGCTTCTGGTCGTGTACAGGGTGAACCTTACTGCAAAAAAAAAACGAACAATAAAAAAATCGCCAGAGCTTTCTTTTCTTTATTGGTGTGAAGCCTTAGAAAATAAAATGAACTTGTTTCCCCTTATTCAGAGTTTCCTTCTCAAAGATTGATTGCCATCAAAGAACCGAAAGGTACATTTAACTCCCAGTTTTTTAATCGTTTCACCTCAAACAAGGCGATAATGTCACTAAGACACAAGGGATTACAAGGAATGAAAAGAAATGAGAAAGCTTCAGTGAGGAGAAGTGAGGAAAGGACAATAAAGGAACAGGATTCAGCAAGAGAAAATGGCGACTAACGCTGCCTTTAAATTTCTGAAGATTGCAAGTGGAATTGAAGCATGAGGTGAAAAGTGCGGGAAAACAAACTGTTAGAATAGAAGCGACATTTAGCTATTTCAATAGTAAAACGATGAAACCTAATAGACAAGCCATTAGTACGCTAAAATCAATCGAGGAACCAGGAAAAAGAAAAGGTCATCGGATTTAGCGGAAGAGACTGGTTCATGAATTTCAGAAGGGCATTAATGTGAAAGTAAACTCAACAGTCTAGTCCGGCGTTTGAACTAGGTTTGCCGATTCCGTACAGACAACCTATCCACTCACCTCCTTTTCTAAGATTAAGTTTAATGCTAGTGTGGGGAGCCTGCAGAGGAACGAACTCGCTACAGTGTATTAATTGTTAATCAGGTCTCACTACCCATTATCCAGTGCCAACGCGTTTAAAATCACGGTTCGTTGTTGTCAGTGTGAGAAGGAAGAAAACTTTTGGCCATGCTGATTAAATTAGAAATCCTGCGAAATGCAGTTTCTTTGGTTTATAGATATTTAAATATATTATTGATACTTACTTGCCTTTGGACAGAGACAGTTAAGGGATGATTGACAAATTCCTTACTGAAGGTAACCTTGATACTCGCTCGCTGATGTTACAATATTGTAGCCTTTTACTAGGTACAAATAGGGCGTCATATGGCGTTAGGAGAAGTAAATATGAGTAAATTTTAGATGTTCCCCACGGATTGTTCTCGTAAATGCATGCACGCAGGCTTGAAGTATCAAAATTCAGATATGGATTTAGGCATATCATTTATTCAAATATCTTACTTATTTGTTTTATTTATTTCTTTACCAAAGTTTCCTTAATACAATATCCATGATCTATTCAAATTGGAGAGTTGCTGAAATATATGAACGTCAGAGGAATCTGTAAGTTCTGAAGATTACGAAGACATGGAAGAGGGATAAAGATTGAAGCGGTTAAGATTCTAGTATTCAGAGAAGCCCCACCCCCTGGCACGAGTCTGTTTCGCAATATAGCAGGTTTTGTGGGCGGAAGAAATGGTCTTTGTGAGATATCTTTCCCACCAATGAAATACATAGGGAATGAGAGTGATTCAAACCTGTGAACGCAGCAAGGCGAGTCTTAGCTATAAAGGTCTGAACTGGTGGCGCTAACTCATTTGGCTATTTATCATGGAAGTAGCAAGAGATTAACGATAGGATGGCATCTGTGGCAAAGAAACTGCAGGATGGACAATTAGTCATCACTCACAGGCCATGTAAACGTTTAGTGGAATTCTGATTTGCAGAGTGCATTAGAGATAAGATGAAATAAATCTACGTGAAAAGTTATTGATAAAGATAATGCATTATGATTTACATTTGATGCTGCAAACGTTCTGATGAGCCGAGAAGTATATTAGTAAATGTGAAGTGATTCTGTCTTTGCGAAGTTCCTGAAAACCAAACACTTTGCATGTTCTGCCCTGACGGCTG